GACTGGATACAAGAGGAAAATTTTTCACAATGAGAACAATCAGCTATTGGAATAATCTCCCCAGGGAAGTGGTGGATTCCCCAACATTGGACACTTTTAAGATTCGGCTGGATAGGGTGCTGGGCCATCTTGTCTAGACCGTGCTTTTGCCAAGAAAGGTTGGACCAGATGATCCTTGAGGTCTCTTCTGACCTGGTATTCCATGATACAGTATGTCACTTACTGTTACAGATTTAATTCTCACAAGCAACAGCTTTGTACATGCTTTTTCTTCTTGCTTTTCAAATCATCCTTCTAAAGTATTTTCAAAAAATCAATGTCTAATAAATAGACAGATTCTAGTGATTTTCCCTTCTTGCTTTAATGATGTAGTTTGCCTTTTGTTCCTACACAAAGGAATATCAAGGGTGTGGTACTTCTTGAAGTATAAACATTTTAAATCCCAAAGATACTGCAAATCGTTATTATAATTGTATCTATATTTAAAAACCTAATGTTCTAACACAAGTCATTAACTAGATCAAACCAATATAACATATCTATTTTGAGATTAAAACTGAATTAACAGTTGAAGCTTATTCTGAGTGTACAGTCTGTCTTTGATATTTTAGTTTTGTTCTGCAATACTGAAGAGTTTATTTAAATTTTGAAATAATGACATTTTGTCCATCCTACTCAAATACGACATTTAACTTTACTTATTTTCAGTTTGCAGAAAAAGCTTGAGCATGTAAAAACAACACATGCACATCTAGATAAGGTAATTACCAAAACTATTTCAATTTTTTTGTAACCACAAGGTTGTTCAGGGTAATTGCAAGCATTGCATGCTAATCATGTTACCTTTTCAGAAGGTTTCAGTTAGAGTGTATTGTGTTTTAAGATCTTTGGAAGATTACACTGAACACATACAGGAATGTGCTTTGTTGTAGGTAGGTTCTAAATGGTTATGGTAAGTCTTTCTTTCAAAAATAACTTAAAAGCTTCCACTGCTCCAGACAGTTACATCATTCATTGATTCACATGGAGAGTGTTACTGAAGCAGACAAATAGCGCTATTCTTTTTAATATTTGCAGAATCAAGTCCTAAATTTGTAGCCAGTCTTTATCCTGTAGGTTTTCTGTCCAAATGTTGTCTGTGTATGTAGATATCGGGGAGATGTTATTCATGACTTTGCATTCTTTAAAGCTGTAATAAAACTTCACTAAGTAGTTAAGCATGTGTAGATTTCCATTCTATGAGTGCTTCCCATCGTTTTCACAAGAAATAGTAACAATTTAACTTGGAACAGTAGATTGGAGGTAGATTCTGCCCTATAAAGTAGGTATCAATCCTGTAAGCACATGTATGCTAAGAAAAAAGAAACAGTTCTGTTGATGTAAACCGTTCTATGCTAATTGCTACTTTTAAGCACCTGTCTTGTCCATGATGTACAGGTTTTACTAGAAAGGCTCCCTTTTAATTTTCTTTTTCTTCTTTTTTTTTTGTTTTCCAAATGTTATGATCACAGTATCTTCTTCTGCTTAGACCCTTCTCAAAAGCAGAACAGTCTTAATGCAGGGAGTTACTGAATTTGTTGCCAGGCAACAAAAACTTACAATTACTGATTTGAGTACTGAAAAAAGAAATGCAAAACAATTACACAAACACATGAACACCTCTCCTACTCTCTCCCTCTCTCCCCCAACTTTCCCAGTTTTTTTCAGTGGGTTACATTTAGTCTGTCCAAGTTCTCCTAGCAAGGCTGCATGTGGCATAGGAAGTTCGGGATGTTTGTTTAATGATTTTCCTCATCAGTACTCTGTTCCTTAGGATTCCTTCCCTGTGGTTCACGCAGGGCCCTCAGTTCCTGTGGAGTGCCCCCGCTCTGTGGGTAAACAAGCTGCAGTCTCTCAGGGGTGTATGTACCCCATTTGGCATGGCATGGCATGCCTCCTCCAAAGAGCCTCAGTCCCGTGTGGCTGGAGGTGTCTGTCTCTCTAACAGAGTGCCGTGCGTTTCTCTGCCTGAAGATGTGTGGGATGGTATTTTTTACTGTTGTATGGTTTCAGAGCTGGCTGAAACAGGTTGTGAGACACACAAGGCAGCTGATGGCCTCCTCCCACACCCCTCAGCACTGCAGCCCCCTGCTATATAAGCCTTGTAAGCTTACACATACTTTAAGAGCTGTGTGAACATCTATGGGTTATGGACTCTACCGTTAATATAATCAGAAACTGAATGTACACCTAGTACATATTCCACTCCTTGCCACTGAGAGTTAGACTGTTGTAACAGTTCTGAATATACACGTGAAAAATTTTTGTATTTAACCACCATCTCCTGCCAAGTGGATGATGGAGCTTAGTATCATAAGGGTTTGAATTTACATGTTTCTGTTGTAGATTCCACCCTTTGGTGTAGATTAGTAAGGTTAGTGTTGCTTACTGTGAAATTCAGGCCTTGTTCCTGCAAAACACCAAACCAAGACACTCTGCTGTTTAATTTCCTCACCATGTCTTAGTAGTCAAGCAAACAGTTAAACAGTACAACCACAGAGTAACACCACTATTGGATAGCCAATGGGTTTCTGAGTCCAACAGCTGTAGTTTCATCCAGAATGAAAATGCAGGGTGACCAACATTCATTTGATGCAACATGGGCACTTCCCTAGTTGGGGAGTAAGGTGACGCATCAGATGGCTTAGATTTCCCAGAGCTTGCTTCACATCCTATGACCATATTAACTGAGCTCTCACCTTTTTCCTGAGCTTGTTATTCCTTGGCTCCTAGGTGTAGATCTTTGAAGGGCTTCTTTTCCCCTTTCCAACTACCAATGTGTAGGGTGGGACCATGGAGATTTTTCATCCCCTCTTGACACTTTCACAACTGCAGTTGTGCAGCACTGTGACAGGGGCTGCCTGATAGGACTCTCTTTATTTTAAACTTGCTTACTGTTTCCATAGGAGATTGGATGGCTTGTCACACAGCTTTCCCTTTGGCCAGTTCAGTGTTACCAGCTGCGAAGTTTTGATTCGGGGTTTGTTGTTCTTGCTGAGCACTTGCCAGTGCATCTTTTAGCAGACCATTAATCTAACAGTGACTGTCAGTCTGATGGTGATGAATTGTAAGTGGTCCCGGTCTTTTTGAGGCTCCATTTGTTAATTTCAAACTACACATTTATTTAGTAGTATTATTATTATTTTGGAATAAAACATCACTTCAGACATCTTTATTTTCAGAATCTATTACTACGTAGTCTATTTATAAAAAGCTTTTCATAACAGGAAAGTATGGATAGGTGAAAAATCTGTTGATGGATTTTTGTCTGATAGAATTGTGATGAAGATCAGAAATTGTGACAAACATCAGTATGCCAAGAAAATAGCATTCTTAAACATATTTGAAACATTGAGCTTACTAGCCTATAAGAATGAAAATTCTTAGTCTTTTCTTTGAGAGCAAACATCAGCTACAGCAAAGAATTACGCAGTAGAAACTGATGGCATTAAACTATTCAAAGTATTGCATATGCCCCTTAAGTGCACACCCAAACAGAATCAAAAAGTATAGCATAATTAGCAAATTAGAGCAGAATAGAAATGGATGGGTTTTTTTTTAAATTTGACATGGGTATATAGCTGTTTTTTTATGAGGCCAAGTTGTAAAGAACATTTTTTGAAATTAATGTAATGAAATGTTTATTCAGTTTGGTAATAATAAGTGGGTCTTTCCATTTGCAGGGTATAATTACAGTAACATTTGAAGTTCCAGGAAATATAAAAGAAGAAAACTTAAATCTCTTTATTCAGGTAAGTAATACATCACTGTCAACTGAAAAATCATTTATAGAAAATCATCCCATGCCATTCTGTTTATGAAAACATTTTTCCTTTTCATAGAACGTTCTGTGGGAGAAGAATGTGAAAGATAAGACCGGACGCACCATGGACATCATAAGACTGAAGGTTAGTCAGAAATGACCAAATTCTTTGGTTTGTGCTTTTCCTCTTTTACACTTAAAAAACTGCGGTGTGCTGTCAGTTGCAGACCTATCAAAGATGCTATTGGATCACTGTAGCAGAGCAAACAAAACGGAGAATAGCAGTTTGTGATTGTTCCGTGTAGAGACAGTTTGTTATCTGCTGGCTGCTGCAACAGCTCAAAAGGAGATAGCTGACAGAGAAGCAAACATTGATCCTACTTGTTTTGAATTGAGAGGGAGGATGTACAGTCCCAAAGATCCATGGCAGAGTTAATAATCAGGACATAGTTAAATCACTTTTTCATTTTTTACCTCCATTGCTTTGAAAGGTTCCATCCATCTCACATAAATGGCTCTTTATCTAAGGATGTAACTATAGATTGCTATCCGTAATTATAATTGTTGGCATGATATGCAGAAGTTGAATTTGGCATAACATAGCAGTGCAGTACTAGTTGTGGTCTACACTTAAAACTTTTTACAGTATTGTCAGACTGTAGTTTTAAAAATGCAGCCCCTAAGTATTAATCTTCATGGGCACTTCATATGTTTTTCAGTTGCATGGTTTTGAGAGGAGTATAGGTGACAATCTAGGATATATTTTCGTTTTCCTTATACTAAGTAGCCAGGTAAATCATTACAAAGTGAGAATCAAGTCTGTCATTTGGTCGGCTGTAAAAAATACAAGAAAATATGCTCTGGTTTGTTTCTTGAGAGCACTTGCGTGTCATGGATAGTGACATAATTATTTTCATTTCGTTGGAAGAAGGGTTGTATACTTGCTCTTTCAGCAACAAAAGGAGAATATCCTTGTCTTCCTGACAAATAGAAGAAAATAGCTACTGATGCATCTTAAGCTGTCTGAAAACAGTACTGTTATGCACAAGTACATTTTTGTTGCATTGAGCATTGGAATCAAAGTAATTCTGTAGGACATCTGAGGTCTGTGATAAGCTGTCTGCTGGCCCTCAGTCACAGACAAATACACCAAAGCAAATGAACCCCAGGTAATCACAGGATGGGTTCCAAAGTTTGTTGCTTTTATATTTATATCCTACCTGCAGTCACAATCCTTTTAGCAATGATAGTCATAGAATTCCAACTAATATGTCAGATGCAGACCTTTTTTCATGAAATATTTTTAACTCTTTTTTTTTTTCTTTAGGGAGGTATGAGACATGTTTTACAGAATGTGTTCTACTAAAATATTTCATAAAGTTTTACATGAAATGATGAAAAACTCTTTTAATACAACTTTTGGTATGTGGGTTAATGGGCTCACTCTGACAGTAATCCCTTCTAATTGTGTTGCTAGTCATTTTACCTCACAAGTGTTTGTTCTTTCTCTGGTATTCAAAGATTCTGTTTCAGAATAGTGAAAATGCTGAGCATGACAGCTTAATCAGAATAATCTGAAATCAAACTTTTTTGCTCATTTTACATCACCTTTGATAGGCAGTCTTTCGTAGACAGATATATCATACACCATGCATATATTCAAAGTGGCATAATAGCAGACAACATCTTATTTTTGCTCAGACATGCTAGATACTGACCAAGTGAGGAACAGAAGGCAAAGTATGGCAAAGTCTAATTATTAGTCTTTAAAAAAATAAGGAGATGTGAGAATGGATGTTATGAGTAGAAGTGATCATACTACATGGTGGTTTTGACTAACTGGTGCATAGTTGCCAGGAATACTTTTTCGTGCTTGGCTTAGTTGCAAAGGTTTCTTCCCTTCTTACGTATTTCATTTTTAAATATACATCCTAACAGTTATTTTTCTGATAAGGGACTGGTATCTATTCAAGGCAAATCTCATCAGGTGATAGTCCAAGGTGTCCATGAGCTCTATGATCTGGAAGAGACTGCAGTAGCCTGGAAGGAAAACGAAAAGAGAACAAATAGGTTGGTCCTAATAGGTAAGAGGAAATGATGTATCTCCTTGTTTGACTTTAAGAAGCTGTTATTTCAGCATGCAGTCCTGTGACTTGTCCAGTGAAAACCAGCCTAAACTGGCCAGAATAATAGCAGTGAGTATGTTCAGCATAACCTTCAATCAAAGGTTTATCCATCAAGACCTCCAGCAGTTTTATATTCCAGCTGAGAGGAATCTACACTATCCCTTTCAGTGAAATAAAATAAAATACTAAGTATTCATAAATTGTGTTGGCATATTTAATGTTATTTTTAAAATCCGTAATTATAAATATGGTGATGGGAATGGTTTGAATGTTTGATCAAGTATTCAGTAACTGTAAGGAAGGTGGTTATGGCCATTAAAATCTATAAAATTTGGTTTTGTTTTTGAAAAGCTTGTAATGCTGAGATTGTACATTTCTTATTTCCTACATGTTACTCTCTGCTTTGCAAAGTGTTTTTATTACCAAAAAACCCCTGTTTTCCTCCTTTCCCTTGCTTGTACAGCTTGAAGTCTGTTTTTGTCTATAAAATCTGAAGTTACCTTGTTACCTGCAGCTTAATTTTAATACTGCTCTGTTTTCAGTCGTTGGTATAATATGCATTTTCTTTGCTGAGAAGACTTGCGGGTTGCTACTTGCATGCATTTTTGTAATACACTGTAAAATATAATTAGCTAATTTATTCCTCTGTACAGGCAGGAACTTGGATAAGGATACCATCAAAGAAGTATTCATAGCCACTGTGGAAGAGAAACAAGGAAACAGTTGACATCAAACTACAAAAAACATGAAACGTCTGCTTAATCCCGCAAGCTTTTTATGACAGAAAAGACTGAATGACATGCAGTATAGTAGTTTCTTTTTCCTCTTGCAGTTTACACAACAATTAAGCCCTGAAGTCCTCCTAAGAATCCCAGCTGACCTACTGTTTAAAGATTAGCTCTACGGTCTAGAATCAAACACAAAGAATTCTACCATTTTGGATTTGGCTTAAGTTATGTCAGTAACATCATTTCCTGTGCAGAAATGCAGATAGGCAAAAGACTTGTTTATGCTGTACATGAAGTATCCCAGTAGGAATATGGTAAACATGTTTGAAGCCCAAAACATGTTAGCCTCCAGCTAACCCTCTTTTAATATTGGAAATGAAGTAACAGTGATTATTGCCAGTGGTGTAATCACAGTGAAAAGTATTTAGTGTTTATTAAACTGTCCTCCCATCTCTTTCCACTTGTTCTGTGATTTTTGAATGTATATGTCCATCCCAGGTACTGCTAAACCTGTTGTATAAATGAAATTAAAAATACATAGATAGCAGAGGCTCAAGACCACATGGAATATACACTGTCTGCATAATAGCTGTGAATGCAGCGTTCAGTCACATAGCCAAAGTGTTGAAAGATGTAGCTGACCTCATAGATCTTCTAGGCCATGCCCCTGCCAGTTCAGGATTTGGGAGACCGGGGGCAGCACATTTTCACTGTGTTGTCTAGACTGTCCTGGGTGATTTGTTATGGGGTTCCCTGACACTGCGTTCAGCTGCTGTCTTGAAAACTTAGTTTGAAGCTTTATCTCTGTGCTCATTACTTTTACAATTTAGAGTTGAACTTCTTGCCCTGTACCTTCTCTAGTGGTCATCATTCACTTAGCTTTAGAGGTATATGTTGACTACAGCTGGGTGAATGCGAAATGAGTGAATGCAAGAAGATAAGGTGGAATTAAAAATGTTCCAAAAGATAATTCTAGGACATGCAGCAGATATTCTTAGCTACAGTGCTACATGGATGCTTGCTGATGTGTCTGGATAGATAGAAATTTGTTTTCAGTACTAGTGGTCACGTACCTAACATTTGCTTTAGGATAAAAGGTACATCAAACTGAAAAAGAAAGAAAGAAAGGAGGCCATTCCCTTATCAGCCATCTTAAAAAATTTCGGTTTGCTTCTACTAAAGTGAGTGAGTTTGGAGTTTGTTTCCAAAGAGCTGAGGAAAGAGACATTGTTAATCTTTCACTGCCAGAAGCTGGTGTCTCGTTTGATTAATATATGAAGTCATGTGTCAAATACGGTAGAGTTCTTCAGTCTCCCAGTGGATACATTAGCAGACATGACTGCATTCCTCACATCATAAGTAGTTTTAGATAGCTTGACGGAGTTTCCAGAAATCAACTACTTCGGTAAACTAAGAACAATCTACTTACAATGTTGCTTTCTGTTCAGTGGAGCGTTGGTGGCATTTGAGTGAGATGGGTATATTGTTGAGCAACATTGTGATAGTCTCCCATAACATTTGCATATCTTAATTTTGAAAACTATTACATATTCTCACATTGATACATGTTTTGCATTGAATAATGACACTTAGTCCTGCATAAAAATTAGTCAAATGATTGCCATCAGTGTTATGGGTTGAGTTACAAACATCGTGTAAATGCAAAGTTGTGGATAATACATGTGTGTTTATTGCTGCATATACTTCCATCCTTCATAGAGAAAGCGATCAAATACCTGTTATCTTATAAATGCCTCATGTAGTTGAAGAACTCTTGTTATCTTTAGAAACATTAATCTCTGAAGTGCCCAACTGATCATTCATTTTCCATTTGAAAAAAACGTTCAGAGATTTAATAAGAAGAGCTTGAAGCATGAGTCATAAGGGAACAAGACTGCTGTTTTCTTTTCTTGGATATTTACTTGACTGACCTTTTCTGGTCTGTTCTGTACGTCCAGCCTGGGGCGACTAAGTCTTGTTCTTGTGTCATGCCAAAATGAAAAGAGGAGGAAAGGTAAATGACAGAGCTCCAGTAAAAGCTGCCCTTAGTGAACTGATTGCTGGATGCTTTCGATATTTATATCAAGGATGCCCTTCTCCAAGGAACTGGAACTAGGTTAAAGTGAGGTTGTGCAGGAGGCTGGAGGGAGCAGGTGGGCACTGCTCAGCCCTGTCCTGGGGTGGCGGTGGTGTGGACGGTGGGGCGGCTCAGGGATGCTCAGGGCGGGGGGCAGCGAGGAGGGGTCTGGTGAGGAAAAGCATTAGCATTTCTTCCCGTACAGGTCCCAAGAAGGGCACAGCAGGGAGTGAGCTGCACCTTCTCATGAGGGAATGATGACCGTAATGGCTGCGTCCCCATCTGGGCCTGCTTCCGAGCCAAAATAACTCCCAGGATAACAATGCTTCACTCCCCCCAACTCCAAGACACGCTAAGCACTACGTAGGCGCTCTGCAGAGGCAGAGAAGGAGTTTCTTTCCTAGAGGCAAATTGCGATGATTTGATCACTTCTGCACCTTCACGAACACCAGACGTCTACAGAAATCACCATTCCAAAACAGCATTTTCTCCGCTGTATTCTACTTTCCACATGTTTTTATGGGTTCTGTTAAACTCGAAAATAAACAACCGAAATGCACTAACCATCGTGCCGTGTTTATATCGCCTATCATATTTAATTTTCAGGAATTACCCAGGGAGATCGATGTTTAATTTTTCTGTTTCATGATACCCTTTAAAATTTAAGCAGTTCTGAATTTGCTAGATTTTCACTAGATCCTTACTTTCTAATCCTGAAGTATAACGACCTCCCTCAGTGTCCTCCTGCTGCAGCGGGTGCTGCAGTGCAGGCACCGCCTGCAGTGGTGGCAGGGGGGGTGGTCATCCATGTCCCATCCCGTCCCCCGTGGGCAGGATGTGGCCGGATGGGACAGGACGGGTCAGGCTGGAGTCCCAGCTGCCCGCTGTCCCCTTGAGCCACCCTGCTCGTCCACCGCCCCCATCAGCCCGGCCGCCCTGCTGAGCCCATGTGCAGCGTCAGCATCCGCGCCTCCACCCAGGGCACTTGCCCTGCTACAGGAGTGCTGGCCCGAGCAGCGTTTCTTCTTCCTCCCTCTCAGATCCACTTGAGCAGCATTTTTGTATGTTTGCTACCACGCTTTGCTCTTCCTTCACTGTTCTGCAGCTCCACATTGCATCCCAATTTGCTATACGTGTTTACAAATGTTACATAGCATGCATTTGTTTTATTTTACCCTTAAACCCAGTTTTTCCAGGTCCAGATCTGCATTGTTTTAACTGACCGTGGGTGGGGTCTCCACCCGTGTCATGCTAGGCCCGTGCCCCATCTCTTATTACCCCAGGCCTGTACTCCTCTACACCACAACCTTGTCTCCACTTCTCAAGGCCACTGATACCGTATCAGGCATGTGTTTCTCTACGCCGCTTCATTACATTACAGCCATAAATATCTCGTTCTGCAAGGAATGGCGGCTTGTTACTGCAAGCTATGAAAAGCTAAGGTTGTAACATACAAGGATAAAAAAGTAAAACAAATTAGCAATAGACACCTGGTCAGCTAGAGAAACTGCTGTCACAGATAACCCAAACAACACCAAGCTGCAGGCAGGTCAAGAAAAGATCAGCCAGAGCAGGGGTGACAGACCTCAGCCCTGAGGCCCTGCACGCTCAGGACAAAGCTATGGCCTGTTACTGGCGGTGGCAGTGCCATACTGCAGGATGACATGGTTACACTCCCATCCCAATGCCCTACATGTGGCCCTTCCGTTCTTCCAGCCACAGACACGCGGTGGGCAGACGGAGCAATGAGGAAGTCCACTGCTGGTTAGGACCAGCAGCTTCACAGAGGCGTCAGGGCTCCAGTGCAGCTTGGTCTAAGTCCTGCATCCACGGACATCCATGGAAACTTTGGGAAAAAACAGCCTCTTGCATTTACTCATAAATATTGGTCTAAAATATAGACAAATGCTTCCAGTCTTCAAGCATAGTGGAAAGTCCCGGTGATCTTATTGTCCTTGCTCGGGTGGTCTGAAATACCTACTGGTTTGACATGGCTCTCTTAACAGGATTTCAATCCCATCTACAAGCAGTTGGCTTGTTAACTGGTTTCTTTATTACTTTCACTGTACTCTTCTTGTCTGAAACCTGTCTTTAATAGGAATGAGCAGCTAATAATGATTTTTATACTCTTAAAATTACTAAGATATTGGTATTTTTAGAATTTCATTTTCAGTTAAATGCAACACAAAAGACTATTGTTCTCTATGTTTTGTCCAGAGCAGAAGTTTGTTTTAATTCACAATAGGTTGCTCAGTTTCACAGCATTGAATCTTTCCTTATGGAGAAAGTTTTTTAAAAAAACAACACTACAGTTAGCTGCTAACAGAGTATAACAACGTAATGCCATTATAACATTGTAACAGGATGAAGGGACCTGGTGGTTGTGCAGCTAAATCCTGTGAGCAGCGGCAGGGCAGGGCAGGGCAGCCTGCGAGTGGAAAGGCTGGCCTCCGGCACCAGCAGGTCTCCCGCCTGATCCTTCCTCCCCCTTTTCTCTCAGCACATTTTCTTAGGGTGCGCTGATACAGTCACTTCGGGGAAAAAAAAAATGCTGTCATGGTGTAAATAGTTACTGCTGCTCCCCTGGACGTGCCCGTCTTCCCTGCAGAAGGGCTCCAGCCAGTGCTGCCTAAACCATCTCAGTGCCAGGTCAAACCAGTTAGGTCAGGGCGTCCTGAGCATTAGGGTGGGCTGACACTGCACTGAAGAAGATCATGTTTGCATTGGCCGATAAGAGCATTAACCTCAGCTGATGAACAGTAATACATGGCTGGAAAAGATAATATTTTCAGCTGTGCTAGTTGAAAGGGGTGGTCTACATCACAATAGCTTAATTCACTATAACGGCACAATTCTCTTAGTGGCATTGTTAGCAGGTGCCATTTTTAAAATCAGCTTGTCTTCTGGAGCCTCTCTTTGTCAGAAGAGACCACAAAACAGTAAACAGACTTCTCAAAAGGAACATGGGAAAGTTGATTAAAATTCTTTCTGTCTGTCGGTGCTAAAATATTCTTTGGAAAACTGTTCAATTTGCTGAAGAAATCAGAATTTTTGTCCCTTGAGAAAGTGGAGATTGCTGATTTCTGTTTTTTGTTTTTTTTTTTTCTGCTAGGAATGAAGAGGAATTCACAGATCTAGAAGTAATTTTTAGCTATGAGAAGCACCCAAAACCTTGTGCTTTTTATATTTAGTTTGC